CATCACTTCATGGGAAATAAATGGGGAGACAGTGGAAACAGTGTCAGACTTTATTTTTGGGGGTTCCAAAATCACTGCAGATGGTGATTGCAGCCATGAAATTAAAAGATGCTTACTCCTTGGAAAGAAAGTTATGACCAACCTAGATAGCATATTAAAAAGCAGAGACATTACTTTGCCAACAAAGGTCTGTCTAGTAAAGGCTATGGTTTTTCCAGTAGTCATGTCTGGATGTGAGAGTTGGACTGTGAGGAAAGCTGAGTGCCAAAAAATTGATGCTTTTGAACTGTGGTGTTGGAGAAGAGTCTTGAGAGTCCCTTGGACAGCAAGGAGATCCAACCAGTCCATCCTAAAGGAGATCAGTCCTGAGTGTTCATTGGAAGGACTGATACTGAAGCTGAAACTCCAATACTTTGGCCACCTCATGTGAAGAGTTGACTCATTGGAAAAGACCCTGATGCTGGGAGGGATTGGGGGCAGGAGGAGAAGGGGACAACAGAGGATGAGATGGCTGGATGGCATCACCGACTCGACATGAGTTTGGGTAGACTCCAGGAGTTGGTGATGGACAGGGAGGCCTCGCGTGCTGCGATTCATAGGGTCACAAAGAGTCGGACATGACTGAGCAACTGAACTGAACTGACTGAAGTTAAAGATTTACGATATGTCCAGCATTGTTTTAAATTCCTACAGGGAATATAAATTATGATACTTCTTTTGTATCCCCTTTCCCACATGAATAAATTACTAAGTTTTACATAACATTAGTAATTTAGTATGCTACACAATACAAAATACAGCTAAATTCTGAGGAGGAACAATACCATAACGGGTATCTATTGGTATAGAATGGGCATGAATAAAGTGATGCAATATTAATACGAAGGGTCACAAAAAACTAAGAAAAAGTTTTGGTAAAGTGAGGTTAGACTCTAGAAAAGTCAAAGAGAGGCAAAGGGCAAATATTAATAAATATTTATGTTATTTACATTTGCCAATATTTATTTATATTGGCAAATATTAATAAAATGCCAACTCTCTCTGAAGACCTTCCTCATTGTCCCATTTCTAAACAGAATTGATTCCCTTCTTAGAACTGTGAACAGCACTGTGATCCTGTTACAGTCCTTAACCCACTCAGTCATTTCTCCTAGTATTTGTAACGACTTCCCCCAGCAGACTATAAGCTCCTGAAGGGCAGAGAATGTCACCTGTATCATATGTCACATATTTCTGACCCAGTGCCTAGCACTAACAGACATGATTGTGTGGGAAAGAGAGAGAATTTGTATTCTAAAACATAGCCAAAAGACAACTTTTCAGGTGTTTAGGCGTGAGGACTAAATGAAGCAGATACTTAAAGATTAGTCTCTCACTCTACTGTAGTTCTGAGTTCAATGGAAAACTAAAACTGGATATATAAACCCAACTTCATCCCTGGGGCCCTCAAAACTTGACTGAGACTCAAATTCAATTATAACTCCTTATCTAAACATTCAGATAAAACTTTCAAAAGTCTGTTTCCCAGATTTATCAATATCAGTCTTCTGAAACATACAACAATCAAAAGTAAAAATTAAACAATCTGCAAAACCAAGAAAAACAAATTCAAACAGTTCCTTTTTATGATCTTTAAAAATGGCGGCGGGGGGAGGAATTAAAGATTTATGTAGAGAAAGATAAGTATACTAACCTTGGGATATATATATATATATACACACACACACACACACACACACCCCAGACAACAGAAATACAGGCAATCTAAAGCCAAGTACATTCTATTCGCTTAAAGCAATAAACCCCTTAAATTCTGGTGTGTAATCTCTTTCCACATTTAAATTCTATCTATTATTCAAAATACACCGATAACTACTTGATCAGAGAGAAGAGCACTATAAAATAAGTGAACCATACTACCTGATCATCTATTGTAGCATAGTCTTCCAATGAGAAAAACAAATCGCAGAAGTAATCCATTTGATTCTAAACAACTTTTAGACAATCTTCAAGTGAAGTTAAAACTACACTTGTTCAACAGAAAAACTTTAAGCTAAAAAACACCTAGGGTGACTAAATCTAAAAGAATCATAGAACAAGATTTTGGTGGTGCTTAATAAACATCAACATGCCCTAGCTGCAAAATAGATGAGTTTAGCTAGAAACAAAGCATTGCATTTGCAGCCAATAGTAATGATGATTAAGCTGAAGAAAGACATGTTTTTCTTGTCATCTTTATTCAAGTATTTCACAGCAGTTATATTACAAATTACAGTAAATGTTCAAAATTCCAGAATTCAAAAATTAAATAATTTACTTCAAACTAATGTAAAATGAAGTCAAATGTAAAACATCAACTTAACACAATTCTAAATTAAACTACAAACCCAAAAATAGACCATAGTTGAGGAGGTCTACTTACTCTACAAAGTAGACATACATGAATGAAACCAAAGAGGACTCCCAAAGTCTAAATAACCAAATGTACAAAATACAAAAGATGTTGGTACAAGTCCAAATTCAAGCTTACAATGTGATTACAAATAATAATTATAATAACAATGGCATTCAGCTACGGGACCTGACACTGAAGATACCTACTGAATAGCACCATAGCTGAACCAACTTAATCAAAAAATGGGAAGATATTACCACCCCACTCCCTAAAAAATAAAATCCAGTAAACCTACAAATACATTGGCATATGAGAAAAATCAAGTCATGAAAGGATGTACTGAAAGGACAACAAAACAAACAAAAAAAAATTAATCACAGGTGAGATTCAAGCTCAAAAACACAATTAACTCCACAGCCATCAGTTTCAACCCTAGTGCGGTTCCATCGTCTTCAAAAGCTCCTATGGTCCCCACAGCTGAGCATTAACTATTGTTGGGCTGGGCTGTGATACACATTTTAGTGATCTGGGAGCAAGGTTTTACACAGGAGCTAATGTATAATGCTCACAATAGGAAATAAGAACAGAGGTCAATTTGTACATATTTTTGCCAATGCTATACAGCAAAAATTAAGAACTTACAGAAAGGTAAACAAAATTAAGTCGCTTGGATAATTTCACAAGCTGCTTTAAATTATAGAACCACCAGATATCTGTAAAATAAGCAAAACTGGTATAGCGTGTTTCTTTTGCAGGGGGAAAGGGGCCAGAGGAGTTGGTTCAATTTCAGCTCATTTTTCTCCCCTTGGCATTAGATTGGCTTTCTCTTTAAGACCTAAACTGTTCAGAGTGGCAGATCCTATCATACTGAGGTTGCCTCCTATTTCTCTTATCTCTATCAAGGTTAAAATTAAAAAACTTGATCTTTTGGAAGCATTTTAATGCTGAACATAAATAAATTTCCGTTGTCAAACTCACTGATGGCTAAAACCTTAACTTGTACAAATTTAGTAACTTACTAAGAACATGTGCATTTTTTTTCCATTCACAAGTGCTGCTGTTACTTGAACAGAATGCTTCTGAATTAGAGTAACTGGAATAAATATTTAAAGAAAAATAGTGCAGCAAGAACCTGAGACTTGCAAAAAACCCTTTTACCAGAAACTTGCTACAAAAAATCTGCTACATTTTATTTCATCAAATCTTTAAATTCTGTAACAATTTCCATCAAAATACAAAATGCTAATGTATTAGACAGTAAAATAGCTTGAACTGGTATGATGGTAATAAATACTAAAGAAAGCATGAAAATCCTCCCAATAATCAAATTAGAGGTTTCAAATGACCTCCCCTTTAAAATTGGTTCATCGTTAATCGCACTTGCCCACCTTAAAAATACAGTGTGTCTACACGGGTAGCATCTTGAATTATATGACTAACTGAATATCATGAAAAGTTCATAGGTATAAAGAAAACAAGTGGCATTATTTTAAAATTAAACTAGAGTTAGAAAGCATAAAATGTTCATGTAAATGCAAAGAAGCACTTAAGATTACTGCAGTAGCCTTGGCCAAAGCGTGCTTTCTGCACTGGCATCCAGCACCCTACAAAGCCAGAGACAAGAAGACAAGTACCTTAGCTTCAGCATGTAAACGGTGGTGAAGTGAATACAGAACTCTGTAGACACCGTTGGTAACTAAAATACAAAAAGCTGAGGTAGCTCAGTATCTCTGCAGTAGTCCAAGACCATTTGCTCTAATTAAAACCCAAACTACATGTGTTGCATATATTGGAAAGACACACCTGTGCAGCCAACGGCTATAATGAATGAAGGTATCAAGCCAACTTGTCAAAATTTTCTACTTTTTTGTTTAAAAATCATCTGATAAAAAAAGTCACTGCACTCCTTTTGCCTCTTTGCAACTGCCTAGACTGTGTCTCTGAATTTGTAGAAAGTTTTTGTAAAACTAGTAATCCATAATTAATTTTATATAAGTACAAGTCACAGAAATCACTCAACAAGATCCAAAATGGGTTCTGATCAAAATGAATAGTTAATTGTGAAGGTAAGCTTATGATGAGGGATTTAAATATTAATACTGTTATTCAAGGACCATACCAGAGCTCACTTGCAACTATGCCTATTGAAAAAGAATTTTATGGAGCTCCCAGACAAAAATTCCTCTTTTCTTTCCATTTGGCAAGCCCTGGCTTTAAACCAAAACAGTAATAATTTGCTATACATGAAAATCATTCTTCTCTGGGAACTCAAACATGAATATCCATTAAATTACCACTGACAGAAGACAATAGAAGGCAGTTCTATTTTCTGACCATCATTGTCATCAATACCAAAAAGAGTATGTTTTTTATTTTTGGATGGATTGTGTATTATTTTTTGTTGTTGCTTCATCACATGTTTCTTAAACAGAAACGAACCATACAGGAAAACTTACCATTTTTAGTATATTTTGTAGTTTAACAACTTTCTTGATTGAGTTTTAAAAGCAAAATAGGCATTTTATACCAAATCACTGGCTGCCTCTTAATGATACAGAGTATCAAAACTTATTTTCAGGGTTGTGACCAAAGAAAACATTCTAATTCATTTGCTACAAACAAGCCCATCCTTGTGTTTAGCCTTATCCTTTCTCAAATGAATAAAAAGGCACATTAAAGGCAGTTCTAAAGAGCCTAATCTAATTTCATCCAGTTTTTTCAGTTTCCCACCAGAATATACCAATTTCAAAACAGGCTTTAGTCCATTACCCAGAGAAAAAAATAAAACAAATATGATAAAAGGGGTAGAAAGGAGAGGGAAAGGAACAGGTTGCCCATTTTTTAAACAATTCAACACAGTAAGAACTGCCCCATCCAGTTTCCTCAAATTTGCTGGTCTGCTCCCTAAGAGAGAAGTCTCCAAAAAAGAGTGCACAAAAAGAGGAGCAGAAGTGAGAGCAGTTTCTGTAGCACCAAAATCTCCAATCTGTGGGGTTGTATTTTTTATTTGTGGAAAATACAACATGTTTCTGAAGTTCTGTTTGGTTCTTGTAGGCTGGTTGGTTTCAGGTACCTGAGACAATAGCACCAAATTCAACAGAGAGAGAATGAGTGAGAGAGCACTTTACGCCAAGGCTCTGCACGTTAATTGGTGCAATTTGAAATTGAATGGCTCAGAAGACTGCTCTGTCAGGAGCAGATTGGAGGGGATAAACCACTCTTCTTGAAAGGTTCATAGGAATGTCTCAAACATATGAACTGTTCTTTCCATCTCCTATAAGGGGGAGGAAAAAAGTACAAGTTACCTATTAAAGGAAATACAAAAGCATTATGGAAAAATTCACTTCAAATCAACTTTCCCAAGAAAGAAATCTAGATACAAAGTTAAGCTTTAAATATATTCCTGATTATAATACTATAGTTACTGTGTAAGACTATCTACCCTAGACATTTCCAAATGCCTCCTATTTTATGTTTAGGCTAATGAGGATGACACTAGCAACAAGGAGTTCTTATTATACCAGATATTTTATTAAGAAATTTGCATATATAAATAATTTGCTAGGTAGTAAATAGCAGAGTCAAGATTTGGATACAGAATCAGGATTTGAATAGCCTCACTCCAGAGCCTACATCCTTCACTACTCATTATGGAGTAGGTTGCCATTTCCGTCTCCAGGGGGCCTTTTCCACCCAGGAATTGAACCTGGGTCTCCAGCATTCCAGGCAGATTCTTCACCATCTGAGCCACCAGGGAAGTTCTCATTATATTCAACTCCCAAAGCAAAATGAATGTATTCCACATAGTAAAACTTGTACCCAAAGTAGAATGCACCTTGTTCCCAATGCTGTTCACTTCAATTAAGAGTTGAAATTTAGAAGGGAAAAAAAAAAGCAAGAAAGAGTCAATGCCACCACCACCAGGAATGCCACTCACTAGTGATTCTGCTATAGATTTCCTTCCCTCCTAAATGAGGCCCCAAGATTATACGGTTCCAAGACCCAGACTGAAAAATGTTTCACTGCTGAAGAGTATTCAGTCCATTCATGGTAATCAAAGATCATCGTGTGAACAAAGAAGCTCTAGAATTTTTAAAAAGTAAGGAACTCTACCCCACACATTACATTCAGATAGGCAAATGCCAAATACATCTAAGACATCTGATTTTCTTTTCCCTCTTTATGAAAAATAAATGTGTGTGTGCTCAGTCATGTCTGACTCTTTGCGATCCCATGGACTATGGCCCATCAGGCTCCTCTGTCCATGGGATTTCCGGGATTTCCCAGCCAAGAATACTAGAGCGGGTTGCCACTTCCTACTCCAGGGACCTTCCCGACCCAGGGATCAAACCCCCATCTCTTGTGTCTCTGCATTGGCAGGTGGATTCTTTACCACTGCGCCACCCAAAACACCTCCAAAGAAATTATATCCTACATCTCTACAGAACTAATAAGGTATACTAACAGATTATCATCTAATCAAAAGGTTATATAAATGATCAATCAAAATTACTCCTGCTAAATGTTTCATCATATGTTACTGAGTAGGAGAAAAGTCCAGTTATGAAACAGAATATATAATACTATCCCAACTTTTAAATATACATTCATACTTATATACATGTTATGTACATCTAGACATTTTTAAAGGATGGAAGATATTCTAAGAGATTAACAATGATTAGTTTCCTCCAGATGGTGGTATGTGGGTGATGTTTTTATTTTTTCATTTTTGCTTTCCTATTATTTCTACATTATTATATAAGGTTGGTACAGATTCATAAAAATGTGACAGAAAAACATGATTACAAAATAAGTTTTAAGTGCACTCTTGCTTTGTTTCAAGTATAATACAGGCGCTGTTTTTGTTGTTTAGTTGCTGAGTCGTATCTGACTCGTTTTTGACCCCATGGATTGTGTAGCCTGGTGGTAGGCTACACAATCCATGGGATTTTCCAGACAAGAATACTGGAGTGGGTTGCCATTTCCTTCTCCAGGGGATCTTCCTGACCCGGGGACTGAACCTGCATCTCCTGCACTGCAGGCAGATTCTTTACCACTGAGCCACTGGGGAAGCCCAATACAGGCATACCCTGGAGACACTGCCTTCCAGACAAAAACAAAGGCAGTCATACAAATCTTTTAGTTTCCCAGTGCAAATAAAAGTTGTGCTTACACTACACTGTGTAATGGCATTATATTTAAAACACAATGTACAGACCTTAATTTTTTTTAATATTTTAAAATTTGTGGGGAAAACAATGCTAACCACCATCTGAGCCTTCAGAAAGTCATCATCTTTTTGCAATAACATCAAAGATCACTAATTACAGATCACCATAATAAACTACTGAAAATGTTTGAAATACTACAATTATCGAAATGTACCACAGAAACACAAAGTGAGCAAATGCTGTTGGAAAATGGAGGTGATACCACAAATCTTCAACTTGCAAAAACTACAGTATGTGCACAGCACAATAAAGCAAGATATGCCTGTATTCCTTATTACACATGCAAAATAGGCACATCCTCTACACATAAATCTTTAACATACTAAAAATGTTCCTTGAGAACAGAGACTTCTGTCTTATTCATTTTTTGCATTTACATTTGCTCAGATGACCTCAAAAAGCAGAAGAGTGACTTAATGATGTAAATTATTTGAAAAAAGATATAAGCTCATATTTATAAGAAATTTTCTTATGGGCCAGAGTTGTCTAGAAAGGGAATGGCTCACTTCTATGGTATCCAAGGATAAGGACAACCACTCATGTGGCTGTTTCACAGGACTAGATCTGATTAAATGAGATGACTTTTAAGTTCTCTTCCAATCACTACTAGGTGGCCAACAGGTCTCATGCATGGCCCATACCAACTCCTTTTAACCAGTAGTGGCTGCCTAGAGAGTAGTGGTAGCATGGACTGTGAGGCCATGCTCACATTCAACAGGCCCAAGTGATATGCATAATCCATGAAGTCGCTGAGAAGCAAGAAAGGGGAGAACTGCGACATGCTATCCTATGTATCTGCCAACCATGAATTTCTGTGCTTTGATAAACAAAGAATCCCAGATTACTTCTGTTCTGAGACAAAAGGGTACAGAGAGGTTATTTTTATAACTCTTAATGATTCTTCTTAATCTTAAATCTTCAAATCACTCTTCAGTTACTTGGTGAAAAATTTAAAATAAAATAACTTTGTTTTCTCTTTATTTTGTGCCAAGTAAAAACGCATATTTGTTTATTCTCTAGATGAACTAAACACTTACCTCTATAAGTTGTGATTTGTCATAATCTTTACGGTGACGGTAGATGCACTGACTAAGAAGAGAATATAATCTCTCAAGTTGATCAACTGCCAGATTGTTGCTTTTATCTACCAACAAATCAAGCAATTTCTAAGAAAAATTAAAAGAATAAAATGAAGTTTGATTTCATTGTTCAGACTGAAACAGTACTACTCAAATGCAAGGCAACAGATACCACATGCTATGGTGTAAACCTGACACCTTAGTTTAGAAGATTCCAGGGCTTAGTTTATCACCAACAACATTCTCATATTTCTAAACCTCTCAAAACACAAACAACTCTTTTTCATTAGAAGCCCTAGAGTACTCATATTCCAAGGTTCAAGGAAAAAATTACTAACACTTGCTTTATTTCCATTCATTTAAAACTGCCCGGGAAGAGCTAAGCTTACCTTCAATCTCTCATGATCAACTATAAGAGGCGGCACAGGCTCAGATGGCTCTTCTGGAACCAGTTCCAGGCTTGTTGTTTTTGCCTGTTCTAAAATTAACTTACGATATTTCTTTACTTTAGAAGCACCTACAATTGAAAAAAAAAATGCACTGCAGCAAATAAAAGTTAATAAAAACCAGGCTTAAACTATTATAAATTCTTTTACCCACCGCAAATCCTTTTTGGAATAAAGATATTATTCTTCAAGTAATAAATGATTTTTTGAGGTAAGACTAAGAAACCCAAGTTAAAGAGGACTAAACCACAACTATGAAAGCTAAGTCATACCAGAATATCATCTAACAAATGTATCCACTGAAAGGAAGATAAAAGCAATCTTCAGCTCTAAGCAGTAACTTATAAACTATCTTCACTCTCTGTATGATAATCATTTTAAAATGTGGAGCTTTCAGAACTAGAAGAAAAGGAAGCAACATAGAAAAGCAGATGCTAACACAAAGTAAGGCCAACCTGCTTCATATCTGCCTCCCAAAGCAAAACATTTTCCTCAACATTGCCTGAAATTTCTTATTTTTCTCAGTTATACTGCCTGTGTTACACAATATTTTCTCTTAAAAATATAAGCCCATTAAAAATGCAAAAGGTCTAGTGTCTTTTCCTACTGCCTTAGAGTAAATTAATATAATTTAATTACTTTCCTCCCAACATTCTCCTGAGACCAACCACACGGAAAAAAATAGAAATTTGGAGGCAGCTAAGAGGATGAGATGACTGGATGGCATCACCAACTCGATGGACATGGGTTTGAGTAAACTCTGGGAGTTGGTGATGGACAGGGAGGCCTGGCGTGCTGCAACTCGTGGGGTCGCAAAGAGTCGTACACAACTGAGCGACTGAACTGAACTGAAGCATTATCTGAGAACGCCAGGCACTCTGAGGAGCAGAAAGGGAAGGCAGACCATCAGCCCTATGCACTCTGAGCGGGAGTGCTCTTAAGAAGAGACGGGCAGGGGTAGGGGGCCACAAGGACAAACTTGGACCATTTCAGAACTTTTTACAGGACCTGGCCCATGTTCTGGGAAACTAAGGAGAATCTTTCTCCTCCCTCCTGCATTAGTCCTCTTATCCCCAAGTCTTTAAACAATTCTTTCTCATCAATGCCTGCTATATAAATAATAAAAGAACCAAGATGTTGCCTTCAAAAACATATACCCTGATGTATCACAGAAATTTTATATTAAAGACAGCCTTTAGACTGAAAACCTATATTTACAGTTCAATTAACATATGCTAGAAGTTTTGTTAAGACCATACAAATCCTCATTATTACACCCATGGACATCTGGGGGTCCAAGAACCTGAGTTAGGAACCACTGCGCTAGGTTACATTGCCCTGGACAGTTACAAATGAAAACTTCAGGTGAAACTTTTACACAGCAAATACTTTTAAAGCTGTTAGCTGAACATAATATTCATTTAAACCTTTTCTGTAAGCTTACTAAAATCTAACAGTGAAGTAGCATTACAAAGACTCTCCCACCCACCCACCTATTCTGCCTCATAACAGGAGTCTCTCCCTTTTCCCCACACTGTCCCATTCATTACTTAATTCTAGCTTCAACACACTTTTTAAGTTCTGTCTATATGATAGCCCAGATAAATAATGCTTCTAAAACTGCTTTCTACTATTATATATTAAAAATTTTCAAGAGGCAGCATTTAAATCTGTACCTTTCTCTTTATCTGTTAAAAGAATTCTAAGACTTTGAACAATACCATCCTACTCTAATTCTTCCAGATGCTCAAACTGGCATTAAACAACTTTTCTCACACAGCCCAAATTCCAGGCTAACACCATATACTCCACACAATTTAGAGAGCACAATACAATTTCAAGATAATTGAGTGCAAGACTAGTTACCTGTTTAGGAAGGAAGTGCACACTGAACAGGGTAGGTCTGTCTCTTAACACACCCCACCCCACCATGGGCTAAAGAATCATGATAACTAGCAAAGCAGGGCCAGAAACCCTCAGCTCGCCCCTATATCCACTGCTTCTTCAGGAATCACATATTCAAGGGAACTCAGGAGTGGACAGAGAGTTCTGACTCGGCAACACATGTAAATCCATGGCTGATTCATATCAATGTATGGCAAAAACCACTACAATACTGTAAAGTAATTAGCCTCCAACTAATATAAATAAATGAAAAAAAAAGAATCAAGTCACTTTGACAGTGAGGATTCTGCTGCTTTCTTCCACCACTGGTTTATAAAGCAAGAGTGTCTCTAGATTAACACCCCTCAGATTCAACTGACAATGACTGCCTGGCATGAATATACCTTAGGATGTGCCAGGTACCAGGAGAGGCAATTAACATATAAGACTTATTTAATCCCTGCAGTGACACCACCCTGAAGTTTAATTCAGAAGATGGAAAGACGCAGGGCCAGAGAATACAAGCAACTAGCTCAGAGTCACATGATTATAACAACAGTGGAAATATAATGTGGGTTTCTATGACTCTGATACACCATACTGCCATAGCATCCAAGTCTTCTCACCTACCTCTCACCCCACCCTAACAATCCTTCTGTCAGAAATCCCATCCTCTTAACAACTGTGGATTTACTCAACTTTTAGTCATAAATCCATTAGGAAAGGGATGATAATTAGACAGGAGCACGAAGAGGAAGCAGCCAGGAAAGCAATGCCTTCTGGACGATAAACCCTCTAAAACATACACCAAAATTTATTATGTGTATGTACACTTTTCTAGGAAAAGGGGTGAAAACTGCAACAGATTTTGCAGTTTTCTCAAAGGGGTATAATTATTCATCAACTATTGCTACTGGGGACCAGATAAAATATGCATGTAATTAACTTTGCAGTTTAAAACCTCAGGAAAAATTTTAAAACATTAGCTCTACCTTCTTTATCCAGTTCTGCATCTTTAACCTCCACATCAGGGCCAGGCTCTAACTTCTCGTTAGTGCTACATTCCAGTGCCTCTAGTTTCTCAGGATCATCTCCATGATTTTCATTTGAAGTTTCTGGTTTTTCTTTTGACTGGTCCTCCAGGAGAGTCTTTTGTTCAGAACTACATTTATATCCACTGCCACAGCAAGAAACTACTTCAGCTTTGCCATTCTGACAGTCCAGAACTGGTATTCCTTCAAAACTGTCTGTGGAAGCCTCACCATTTAGACAGCCTCCTTTAAGGAAAGGCTCTTTCCGAGACATCTGTTCTGGATTTAGAGAACTGCTGCTGTTGATGAGTAGAGACTCATTTGAACTTTCCTCTTCGGTAGATGCAAAGTTCTCTTTTGTGCTTGCTCCATTGTTAAGCCTCTGCCCCTGGTCCATGTCCATGATGTCACAGGATGATTCATCATTGGTCATAGATAAGTCTCCAGTCTCTTCTCCATTTTCTTCATGGCAGTCAGTGCTTACCTCAAACTCTCCATTTTCTAGTAATTTCCTGTCCTCCATATGATTCTCATAGTCAGTAAATTTGGTGTCCTCTTCATCTTTTTTTAAATTATTGACTTTCCTTTTCTTAATAATTCCTTTACCCCACTGTGATCGCCGCCGTGATTTTCTCCGAACTCGAACTATTTTACAAAGAAGGGGAAAAGATATGTAGAACTTGGAGGTGCAATGCTTGTTTCACAAATGTTTATTAAATAAGATCCAAAAGAAAGTAAACCCACACTACCATAACACAGAGACAAAAACTACTTAGCTCTTGGCACCCATGCTGACTAATCTTCACACCTACAAAATGGATATGATGTCAGGGATGAGCTCTGACAAATGAAAACATTTTAAATTTATTTCCTATATGAGTTGACTAAGCACTCACTCTTTACAACTGCCCTACCTTATTGCTACTTTATTGCTTTTCCTAATTCCTAGAACCCAGGGCCAAGCACACTACACATTTAGGGAATGGTCACATTACCAGGCTGCCTGGAAGGTTTGGGGCTACAGCCCTGGATTTCCACCAGGAAAGTGAGTGCTTTGCCAGCAAGACCCCCCAAAGCTCTTAAACCATAAAAGAAATTAAGATATGATCGAATAGTGAAGAGACAAAAGTTACAGGTATCTCTACTGCCTCTCCTTTCATAAGAAATAGAAGCCCTATGAAGTTTATACAGACAATGTGGTTAGCCACCTGTTAGCCTTCTATCACAAATGTTTCTCCTAGCAGGATCAATTTCTTGCAAAGGTGTTATTGGAAAATATACAGAAAACAAGTCCTCTGCTATCAAGGCAACAATAACAACATTAACAAACACTGAAAATAAATATTTGGTCAGTTATATAAAGTAAGAGACCTACAAAAGTTGCAGGGACTATACTCTTTGGTGTGAGAAACTATCAAGAGTTTTATCAGTAGATAGTTGGTACTTCCAGGTCATGATGGACACAGGAATATTTATTTCCCATATTATGTATCAAAGGTAGCTGGTTGCGCAAGTCGATCTCATTGTCCCTAAAATGAAAAGTTAACTTTTATTTTGCAATGTGGGACACTTGCACGAAGAAATTTAAATATAAAAGTTATTAAAGCAAACTAGTTAAGCTAGAGACCTATTACTTCTGATGTCTACCACTGGATTCTGAATATTAGTTGAGAGCCATCAGAGTAAAAGTAATTCATTTTTCCAAGGCTATAAAAGTAATGTCAAATCTGGCTTAGTTTAAAAAGAGATAATATATATTTTTAATATGTCAATGTTGAAAGCTTTCTGGGCAAAGACATTTTAAAAAGAAAATGCAAATATGGGTCACTAAGTGGAGAATGTTTAATCCACAGTTTAAAACTGCTGTTGAAAGACAAACAGCTATGGTTGTGATAAAAAAAATAAATAAATAAATAAAATTTTAAAAAAAAAAAAAAAAGAAAGACAAACAGAAGGGAATATGGTCTTAAAACAACCCTCATTTCTTTACGTCAGCACTTAATATGAACTTGTGATCTTTATCCATTAAAAGAATTCTAAAACATTATCATGTATGTGTACACTTTTCTAGGAAAAAAAATGGATAAAGATCTTTTTTTTTAATAAAGATCTTTTAATGGATAAAGATCATAATGTATCAACAGCACACAGTGTGTTTGCATACTTTTTCACCCTTTCATCTTTAATCCTTACTAAGTCTCTATAAAGATACCAAGGTAAGATATATGACAAATTGTCATAAATGTTACTCTTCTTTCTGATCTAAGAATAAAATCTACCAAAGGTTTCTAAAACCATTTCCAAAACTCAACTTATTTAGTGACTTGGCTCAAAATTTATTTTGCCCTGAAAACTGTACTACCATTATAATCATCTCCCCATTCCTTTTCCCCCCATTTCTATTTTTATAATTTACAGTTACAGGGTAATTGGAGATGAAATTTCTATGTTAGTTTACTTTTAAAAGCACAAGCTAAAGTGATGAGCATTCATAAGCATTTCATTACTTACATGAAAGATTAATCCAGTCCATATTAAAAGTGAAAGAAAAGTATTCAGCTTGCTCTTTCTTTAAAATGTAGAACTGTTAGGTTTTTCTACCTGACCAGTCCCTCCTGACATTGTGTCCTTGCTTATTCTCCAACAACCAAAGTGACAAGAGGTTCCCTTTTCCTTTCCTCACTAAGTCATGAAGCACTAAAGCCAAGAGGCTTGTCCCTGCTCAATCGAGAGCCAGCTCAATTATTTGATATGTACTCGTACCCTAAGCAAAAGCTAGGAACCTTTCTGAAGCAAGGTTACTTCTAATGCTTTCACCCCAGATAAGAAAGAGAAAATGTTCTTATTTGCGGGGAGGTCAAACTGGAGATATTTTCCCCGTCTTTTTATAATCACATCTAACGCTTAGTGAGATTTTGGTCAAATAAGAGAAATTGGTTATATACGTGCCACAAGAACCAAGATTTTTGTTTCAGTCACTGCTCTATCTACCACCTTTTCCGGGGGTACTTTGTGTGCACAAAGTACACAGTCTTTTAAATCAAGTTTTACAGCATCTCTGAGCTTGTTCCCAAAACCTTAGGTTCTTAGGAAAGCAACTATTCCATAGGGAGATTTAGACATACTAATTTAAGTAAGTTAATGTAAAATAGTCAAATGGTGAGTCACATATGCCATCTACTGGTCAGAGAAAACAAAACCCACATTTGTAGATTAAAAAACATTTTAACACAGAAAATTAAAATTGCTGAAGCAATATTCAATATATTTTAGTGGGTAAATATTTTTATCAATTGCAGACAATGTAAGTATTTCAACATTTAAATTAGAGTCTTCTGTTAGATAATCCAGGTCACGAGTCAAGGTACAACCAGGAAAAATAGCTTAATCAGCTTCCTGGGATGAAATGCACCATTAACTCCTTCAAATTTTCTCACACATGAATGCCATTTATCACAAAGAGGACAAGATTTAAAAAAAAAAAAACCTGAGTCTGGTTCATTCATTCAACTTCAATGCCACTGGTGGAAGAACTTATCATGGCCATCTTTACTGATGGCTGGAGCAGAATTACCACCTTTATATCAGAAGAACAGCATACACAACCCAAAGATGGCCATCTTTAGTGAAACATAAAGATTACATTAGGAAGATTCTATGTTTATTAACATTTGTCTTTTAGAAATTTTTACAGATCACCATGAATAAGGAGAAGTGAGGAAAATATAGAACACTGAATTTTCCCCTTCTAAATACACCTCACTTACAAAACAAACAAAAGAAAACAAACAAAAGAAAAATAAATAAATACATCTCACTTAAACAAAACTAGAAAAAGAAGGCTGAATAGATTTTTCTCAGAAAAATCAACTTCCCGCTGTCAATTCCAGCACTCTCTTAAGCCAGAGTTTCATTTCCCACCATAATGAGAGCACCCTGCATAATATATAGCAAGGGGTTGAAGGTGGGGTGAATAAAAATCTATTGGCTCCATATCTCTTTCTAAAACCCAAAGTTTAAAGCTGAAAATATTTAAATCTAGTTCAACTACAACAGCCAGCACTGAGCAGAGACAGAAAAAAAGCAAGTAAGGGTAAAGAAATATACTGATTCAGCATCTTACCCCACAAGCTCCTGGAAGCCCTTTGGTGTATGTGCCCAGTTCCTAGCACTTCTGCCTCAGTCACAGTTGTTCCCACTGCTGGATAACGAGATCTCAAATACTCACATGCACATTTGTTTGCAGAACTGTGCCAGACATCCACTGGATTTCTTTGTTTGTGCCGAAATGCCTCTTCAACTCTAGTTTCTGTCTTTCGAGCTCCAGTACCATGAGGATTTATTTGTTCTACTGTTACTGATAAGCCTGCAAGCAGAAGATAAGCGATACCTATTTAAATATTCCCAGCTACATGAACCAACAAGGTTAAAAAAAAAGTCTGAAATACTGAGTTTTAAAGTCATTAATTATACTTGGACAGTTTGCAATTTGGATGAAAATAGTACCTTTTGTTTTAAGATGGGAAAGAAACTAGATATCATATCATAAAAATAAAACAGTAGGCCATGCTTATTTATACTTTATCTCCAAAGGGCCCCATGTTAACTCAGTTTATTTGGCAAAGGGATACATTTCACATTTTTTTGACTGTAAGACAATAAGATTATATATTGCCAAAAAGTCATGATTTCTGCCATCTTAGAAAGTATAAGCATATACTGGGCTACTAAACCCCATTCATATAAACCATTTCCATCGGATATAAGCTGGCTGTTACACCACACTGTGTAAGTTTGGTTTTCCTGCATTGATCTTCATAAAAATAACTGTTCCATCTCAATTTTCTTTACTAGATCTCTTTCTTCTATGCTGTCTTTAGTGTTGCCATCCAAGTTTCTAAGGACTATCTCTGGAATCCCTTTTCTTCTCACTTTAATCTACATCTTCCACCACAAGTATCATTCATGCCTTCAGCTTCTACTGGCATTATATAATTATTCCCAAATCACACTTTAATCCAAAAGTCTCTCGAGCTCCTGATTTATATTAGCTGCCTACTTGATATCACCTACTGCATATCCTAAAGATAGATCAAATTAAAAATAACTGGTTTCTCTTTTTCCCACAAAAAGACCTGTCCTTATATATTCCCTCTCTCTACTGGTAGTATTTGCATCTCTTTTAAATCATTAAATCAGTAATGTGGCAGCTAATCTTGCCTCTTTCTTTCCTTCCCAATACTTTCCACCCCTGCAGCCACAACTCTTTCATGTTAATCCTACCTTCATTCCCACTTCAGTAATTAAAACTCTGGACTACTCCAACAGCCCACACCCTCCAACAGTACAATTAACACAACATAAAAATCACTCATTTCAAGTGTACAATTGAGTGATTTTTAGTGGATTTACAGAGCTGTGCAATCACACAGCAATCCAATTTAAGTAACGGTTCCAGGCAATCACTAATCCACTTTTTGTCTCTATAAGAGACTGGCTTTTGTGAGCATTTTATACGAATGGAATCATACAATACGTGGTGTTTGGTGACTGTTTTCTCTCACTTAGCGTAACATTTCTAAAGTTCATCCATGTTGCACCTTGTTCTTTTTTATAGTTGAGCAGTATGTTGTTGTACAATACATCCTGTTTTGCTTACCCATTCATCAGTTGACAGACATTTGGGTTGCTTCTAGTTTTTAGTTGCTGTGAATAATACTGCTATGAACATTCATGTACAAGTCTGTATATGGACATATGTTTTCACTTCTCTTGGGAAGATCCCTAGGAGTAGAATCGCTGGGTCATATGGTAAACATGATGCTTAACTTTTTTAGAAACGGCCAAAATGTCTGCAAAACTGGCTCTGACAGCTTTTTAACTAGGCTCTCATCCTCCCACCCTGCCACAGTGAGACCTTGCTATTTCCTGCTGCCAAAACAATTTACCAATCCATTCCACTGCTTCAGATACTTCAATGACTCCTACTACCTACAACAACTGTTCTCAAACTTCAGTATACATAAAAACCACTGTTAAAGCAGATTTCTCAGCCTTACTACTCTCAGAGAACCTAGTTTCCCAGTTCTAAGCTGATGTGGATAATTAACACACATTTTTAAAAACACAGACCTACAGAATAAAGTCTAAGTCCATGACATTGATTCACTCAATTACTTGCACTTATATTCTAAATAAGGAGGAGAGAGACAACAACAACAACAAAATGACAAAAGCTATGGTGACCAGAGCCATATCAGATTAAGTGGCCAGGGAAGGCCTCTCTAATGCAGTAGAAGAAAAGCATATTCACAAGTTCAGTGTCCTCAACCCAGCTCACCTTCTGAGCTCTATTTCTCACTCTTCTGTACATCTTTAGCAATGCCAGTTCGCAGTTCTTCAGATATGCCACATTATGTCATGTCTGCGCGATTTTATGCACTGTGCGTTCTGCTTACAATACTTCCTCCTTCTCTGTCACTGCCTCCCCATTCCCTCTACGGCACTACAGACAACACTTGTACATTCATTCCCCAAACTCTGATCAAAATGCCAGGTTTCCTACCAGGAGGTCTATCCTCTGTGATGAATATGCTTCAGTTAGTGCATATGCCACACTGCACTTGATTTGTTTTACACTTACTCTCTCCTACTAAAGTATGAGTTCCCCAAGGACAGGATTATATACTGAACAAACAAAACACATGTGCTATGTGTTTATATTAACAAAATTGCACATAAAACTCCAATAGGTTAAAAAAAAAGTATTCCTAAATTTTTAAGAATTAGTATTAGATATTATTACCTGTTGAAAATAAAACTCTTCAAATATGAAAATCTATCTAAATCCTTTAAGAACAGAAATCCATAATTAACAAAGATGTGTTCCTACAAAAGAAATTTCACTAAGTACTGCTTTATTTCTATAATTGGCACTAAAATTGCCTAGAAAGTAAATTTTTAAAACATCTTTGATTAGCCTCCAACTAATAAAAATAAATGAAAAAAAAAAAATCACTAGTTCAAAATAAATAAATAAATAAAAAATAAAACATCTTTGAGAATTTACATGACACATATTCGTATCAGAAATTAAGTAAAGGTTGGGCCTCAAGATACACTTTCATTATACCAGCAACTATAAATAAACACCACCCAGTGACACTCAGTGACCTCTTAGTCTTCAATAGCATGTTCACTTCTATAACTTACCTCTTTTTATTCTTGCTTCCTTAATTTCTTCACAGAGTTTATTAAATTCTGGATCCAACTCAGCTGCAATGATGGCATGTGCAGTATCCTTCAGAGTACAAGCCCTGTGCCTAATTATTTTGTCTGTTAAAAAGTTGGTATACATTTATTATACACACAAATGAAATAACATGAAAAAAGGGCATCTTAATAAGAAAAGTAAAAGAACATAAACATTTAAATAAAACTGTAAAAAGCATTTCTAGATAAGAAACAAATTCACTTTAAGTGATGAGTGAAAAATAAATATGGGCTTCCCTGGCAGCTCAGTGGTAAAGAATTCACCTGCCAATACAGGAGAGATGGGTTTGATCCCAGGGTCGGGAAGATCCCCGGCAGAAGGAAATGCAACCCACTCTAGTATTCTTGCCTGGGAAGTTCTGTGGACAGAGGAGCCTGGAGGGCTATAGTCCACAGGGTCACAAGAGAGTCAGACATGACTTAGGGACTAAACAACAACAACAAAAAATATAATAAACTACTCAATTAAGTTGACAATCCTGAGAACTATACTTTTAGAACTTCAAAGTACTAAGCCTACTTAACAAGTACCTCAAAGATATGGCTTTATTTGATAATTTTGAAAAGCGTATTACTTTAAATAAAAATTCTTTAAAGATATAAAGAATATTCATCATACATCCAGCACCAGAGTTGCCATGCATAGACACTGAGGTTTCAGAAAACTATACATAATTTTCTCCATAAGAGAAAACTGGTCAAAATTATGTTAAAGAATATAATATATGCTAAAGCAATGTGACCTATTAAAAACTGTGATAGAAACAAATATGATAAGGCACTCTAAGAATGTAAGATGATATAAACTGTAGGTAGTTCTAGGAGAAAAGTGCATGCTCTGTTCTAGGTACACTACACCTAAAACTGGTAATAAAAGAAGAGTCTCTCTGCTTTACACTAAGTCCTCATTCATTAACAAGATGACATAACTGTGCTCCCTAGAGCTGGCAACTCCAAGATGTTACAAGTCACATAAATGCATTAATGTCACTTAATTTGTAACAGTATTTAGAACTAGAATCCAAGTCACAAAATAATATCTGCTTTTTCATCTCTAGCAAAGACAAAAATATAAAAATGCATCTTACATATAACTTTTCTTATTAGAATATCTAATAGTTCATTATGAAAAATCTTACAAAGACAAACATGCAGCACTCAAAAAGGCAGCCCACTAGTATATTTCCTTCAATATATTTTCTCTCAACTGTCACTCAATAAATATTGATTGTCAACTGCACCAGGAACTGAGTCAGCTGATGGCTACACAGTAGTAAACAAAACAGGTCTCCACTTTCAAGGAGCTTTTCAGACTAGTATAGGAAAGAGGTATTTAACCAAATAATCTCATATGCACATAGAAACACCTCCACCCACCCTTCCCTCACCCTTCAAAAAACCTGTAACAGCTATGATCAAAATCTCCAGAATATTGAATGGGCAAGTCAGGAGAGAATTCTCTAAATTAGGGGCACTTAAGGTGAGACTCAAAGCATGCATTAGGATAGCCACTGATGAAGGGAAAAACCAGTACAGGTTCAGAAAATACCACGTGAAAAAGTTCTGAAGTAAAAAGATCTTGGAGATTTCTAGAAACTGAAAGGTAGCCTATGTGATTAGCACACAAAAAGCAAGTGGCAAAGAGGAATCTGACCATATTGAAAGGATTTTAGATCTTATCCTAAGAGCAAAGAAAAGACCCATGCAGGGAAACAACATGATTTAATTCTCTAGATGATAAGGGACCATTGGGTGGTTTTCAGACAGAAAGTGATTTGATTTGTATTTAAGAGTATAGTAATACAGGCGGTACCAGAGGTCAAGGGAATGATAAAATGGAGATTGTAAGACCAATTAAGACTCGCAGGGAATTCTCTGGCAGTCCAGTAGTTAGGACTTGGTGCTTTTCACTGCTAGGATCCAGGACCTAAGCTTAATCCCTGGCTGGGGAACTAAGATCCCACAAGCTGCATGGTGTGACCAAAAAACATTTTTTTTTTAGGCTAAGAAAAGTAGTCTACAAAGGTATAGAAAAAGAGGATATGGCTGAAAAAACAGAGTGTGGGGGAATGGTGGGAAATTCATTCACTTGTCTACTCACTGAATCTCCATTTATTGAGCATCCATTTATAAAACATTTTCTATATGTAAACTGTATCAGTGCTGGAGATATGCAGCCCTGGCCTGAGAGATGCCTAAAATGAATGCCCCTTTAAATCCTGTTCATCTCCAGATAATGTCTTCTCTGTGCCCTGCTCACACTGTACATGTACCGAATATACACCTGATGAAACTGCATTATCATCAGCTGCTGCTGCCACAAGACAAAATTCAAAACTGCCACCTATGTGCTACCCCTATACCTTAACCATCTAGTATAATCACCAATAATCAGGTATTTGTCATTCTTATAAAACAGTGAGTTTCTAGATAAGAGAGACTGTGGTGTTATTTATAAATTGTTATGGGTTAAACTGTGTTCCTCCCAAAAATTTACATGTTGATACTGTACTCCCCAATATACCAGAGTGTGACTACATTTGGAGTAGAGCCTTCAAAGAAGTAATCAAAGTAAAAGGTCCTATGAGTAGGCCCTACTCTAATCAGACTTGTGTCCTTAGGAGGAGAGGAAATTTGGAGACACACAAGTAATACCAGGGGTGCATAGACACAGAGAAAAGATGACCATGTGAGGACACAGCAAGAAGGTTGCCATCTGAAGGCAAAGGAAAGAGGCTTCAGAAGAAACCAAATCTGCCGACACCTTGATTTTGGACTTTTAGCCCCCAAAACTATGAGAAAATCAATTTCTGCTGTTTAAGTCATGCAGTCTGTGGCACTGTGTTAAGGAAGTGCTAACAAATTAATATCATAAGATATAGCATAATGTCTGTCACACAGTAATTATTCAATATATATTACTCCATCTTAAGAGGCAAAGACTATCACAGTATGCTAAACACTCAGCTCAGTAACAGCACATGGTACTTACAAATAATAACAGAAAATGTGAATGAGTTTAACTGAAGTATAACCCATAGAGGGCTCCAAACACTGGAGTGAATCAGTGAGCTTTATCCCTAAGCATCTAGTACAAAACAGAAGATTTTGAGAATACTACAAGACTGAGGTTGAAATTTCAGCAAAATCTGCTAAATGATGGTATGTATGTGAATATACTTAAGTGCTAGAGGAGGCATTAAGTACAGAACAAACAGTGAGGAATAGTTAAACATAAAACAAATCACATATTTATGAGATAATAATTTGGGTCAAATATCTGACCTGGTCACACTTAGAACCTACAAGTTAAAATTCTTCTAGTTAACATATTTAATTTTTGCCCACGTTATCCTCAAGGGAGAATCTGGGTAAACACTTAGGCAATACATATAGCTTCCAAAATGTTGGCTTTTGTCTTCTACGTATATGCTAGCTTTTTCCCAAAACGGCCAAGTGTACTGTAAAACAGAGCACTGTAAGCTTTCAAATACTCATGGGAGCCTGTAAAAGTAATACAAAATTCATGTAATTTCCACTTGCTACACAGTAGACCCTGAGGTGGTTTTTCTAATACATAACAAGTTGTTCTGTTGCTAAGAAAGAAAACAGGGCTCTTGACTAAAGATACGAAAAAATCAGAACAGAGCCAAAATCATGCTTTTGAATTATACAATACTTTTTGCTTCTAAAACAGTAAAGGAATAAAGTTACAAGTGTACCATGTCAACTCTGTGAGACAGAGCCATATCCTTTGATTATACAACTATATTCTATAATAAAAGGTTATTATGCACCAGAAATCAATGCTTCTTTCATGAAAGTAATATTATTTTGATGTGATTATAATTAAGTTACACAGAAGAGGGGGAAAGGATCTGGACTGATCCTTTCTACTGGCTTTTTCTAACCATTCAAATTCATTTATCACTAGCAGTCCTTACAGTTGTCCCAAAATAGGATTCAATTTTAAACGTGGTCCAGGGAATACAGTAAAGGGTCATTCTAAAGTAAATGTATAGGCATACACTAAGGAAACAATTATGACAGATTAAGGCACAATTTAAATAATAATGATAATAAGGACAAATATATGAACTACTAACCTTTATGGAACACTTATCACATCCCAGGGACTATGCTAAGGACCAACATATTCAAGTTGAACCATATGAAAATGACAATTTCATAAGGTAGGGCCTAATATATTTTCTCATCTAATCCTTACAACTACCCCAAGAGAAGAGTAATTATCCCTATTTGCAGATAAGGAAACTAAAATTTAGAGGAGTTAACTTTATTTCCTAAAGAACTAGGAAATAAAATGGGGACTGAAGCCTAGGTGCACATCCAAAGCCCAGGGTCTCATTACCTACTGCACAATGTCAGTAACCTCTATGTCTTGAAAACCTAACAGGATGAGAGTGTAGGTGCTCAAGTACTCTCACACTCTGCTTAAGGCCACTATATAGACACTTATGCAGTTGTACCATCACCCAGAACCCAACAAGGGAATCAAAGGAAACTGACATGCAGCCCATTCTTCACTAGCCAAACTGTGGCCCTGTTACAGATGCCATCTACACTGCAAAGGAGATTCTCTCAGTCCCACAAAACTGCTATATTGGTTAACAAGTGCCCCTGATGCTGCCAGAAGATGATTTTTTAAATTGTGAGAAAGTTTTAACACAGATTTAAAGCCTTAAAAGAGATTATACACTCTGATACAGAAGTTTCACCTTAAGGAATTTATCTTAAGGAAATAATGAAGGACATATGCAAAATTTATCCTATATTCATCAGTGTTACAATAGAGAAAAAAGCTAAAAACTCTAACATGCCCAACAATAGGGTATTAGCTATAATACATTCACATGATAAAAATTACATGGTAGAAATACATTAACTCAAACTTTTCACAAAATATTACATGAATGAAAATTTACAAAAGTTATATTTTCATTTTAGTAAAAATATTATGCATGTATGCATTTCATATATAGTATTTGTGCATATGTGTGTGAGAGAGAGAAAAGGAGGGAGGGAGGCAGGGGGAGAAAGAGAAAGAACAAATACTAGGTAACATGATTATAGGTTATAGGTTACTTTTTATTCATTTTTATCCTCATAAATATTTATCCTCCTAAATGATATGTAATAAAAAGTCAAAATAAAACCTAAGCAAACAACAAAAACTACAAGAGATAAATGTCCTAAAACAAAGCTTAAAAACTATTAAAAGTAGTAAAAGATACCAAAAGCAGCTATATAAAATTTTATTCTGCCACTTAACTTAGAACAAAAATATGTGATTTACTGTAGTCTAATTTAGACAAGAAATAATCAATTTGTGTAGAAATGAGAAATCCAGGTCATTCTAACAAGTGAACTAAGAACCACTGCCCATAAATATACACATAAAGTAGAAACTGTACTCTATATATCTTCAGATAACTGAAAGTTTAAATAAATTTTTTAAAATAAAAAGCATCTTACTTTTATATCACCTGTTGAAGAAACAGAATTCTTAACAGAGTGAGAAAAAGAATGACCTCTACCAGATGGGAACTGGCCTTGGTGTACTCACATTAAACATAAACAACTTTACTGAATACCACTCTGTGACCATGATGAATCAAGACAAAAACAAGACCACTTCATAATCAGGACAAAACACGGACAAAAGTATGAACACTGCCTTACAGAAATAACCAAATATAATCCTATCCTGTGTGAGATGAATGCTGCTTCTTTACCAATCACAACTTTAGTCTGGTTCCAATCTTCTTACTTTCCAGGTTCTTAAAATACCTAGTCCCCAGATTACTCCCACCTCCTGAAAGCATCTATTCCACTGCGAAGCTCTACTTCCTTAAATTTTCCTCAAACTCACTTAACACAAGCTCAAATCCTGTATGGTTCCCCATGATGTACATTCTCCTTTATTACAATGTATCAATAAATTCAACTTGTTTAACTACAGATTATTCCTGGAGGTCTCCCCTGGAAGGCATTAACAGAACTGAGACTACAGATTTGAGTACAGGGTGGGATTAGGAGTAAAATAATAAAGTATATTAGGTTGGCCAAAAAGTTCATTTAGGTTTTCCATAAGATGTTATGAAAACATTCACAAGATGTTTATTTACATATGTGAACACATGTACAGTCTATAGAACAGATAATGTCCATCTACCCAAAGGGGCCTTTTGATAAGTAAACTTAACTATATTAAGTTTACAGAAATCCGAAATGCCCAGTGTTTATCAGCACTGATAATGGTGACTAAACAAATCAATCTTAAATTCTCAATTATTCAGTTTTCCATCTTACCTGAAAAAAATTAGAATCTAAGTATAAAAAGTGAAAAGCAACTCGAGAAACTAAATCTTGATAATAATAAAATCCTTGAATTTAAATATATTATCTAATAATTTAATAAATGAATTAGCAAATATAAACTATCATATACAAGGTGGATAAAAAATAAGGTCCTACTATACAACACAGGGAACTATACTCAATATCCTGTGGTAAACCATAATGAAAAATAATATGAAGAAGAATATATGCATATACAACTGAGTCATTTTGCTGTACAACAGAAATTAAACACAACACTGTAAATCAACTATATTTTGATAAAAATTATTTTAAAGAATAATAAAATCCTCTAATTTAAATATATTTTTTAGTAATTTAACAAATGGATTTAATAATTAAATTTAATATTTAAGCATATACTTAGTTCTTTAACAAGAAATTTCTAATATGTCATTAAGACCAACTTTTCTATCTGAAATATGGGAAGGTTTTATTTATATTTTAAACTATCTTCTCTTTGATCACCAAAGTCATCCTTGCCCAGTGCATTCTTACCTCCTGGATCCTTATCTGGATTGTACTCCAAAGCATTGCTACAGATGAGGTCAATATCTTTTAGGAAATCCTTAGCAGTCAGGTAATTATGCTTATCAATTTTAGTTATTACTGTTGATAAGTCCATTGGTTCCTTGATTACTTCAAGATAATCTGAAACCTAAAACAAACATGGTATTTTAATGAAAATTATTTCTGGTATTTCATATAATCTACTCATAAAAACACAAAACAAAAATCAAAGTTATTTTAAAACTAAATCTAGATATCTAGGAAATAATTACATATAAGGATAAAATTATAGAGCAATTTATGCCACTAAAGATACTATGTCATACTTTCCATGAAAAGCTTCAGTTTCAAGTCATATTTAATGAACTCTGAAGAGTTTCTCATCTCGAAATATGAAACCAACTGTATCAGCTTTTTTTTTAATCCTTTGGATATACCTGAGAAGAAAATGTATGGGTAAAAGTACCCAATAAGCATCAATAAATGTTACCTAAGCAAAAAAATTTTACAGGAAAATAAAAAGAAACAGATTTTTTTTTCATATTTTTAGAGAAGTTCTTGGGTAGATCTCTTTAAAATCTTTAAACAAAAACATTTTTTCTTTTTCAGTTTTCCAAGGTGAATCATTTCATGGAAAGAGTTTTCTACTCCTTTGGAGTCATTACAAACATTTTGAGTCAATTATATAACAAAAGTAGGTATTGCTTCCATGACTAATAGAAGATTTGCTGGCCTTGTCCCTAAGCATAAGCAAATTTACAAGCAAAACATGAATTTTGCTCTGTGTGATTTTTCTAGGAGATAACCCAAAATAGAGATATTAGTCATGACTGCCCACTAAATTTTATGTTTTATATCACTTGACCAATTAAAAAGCTCTTCCACCTATATATCTATAGGCATACCTTGTTTTATTGCACTTCCTTCTATTGCGCTTTGCAGATACTCCATTTTTTTAAAACTGAAGGTTTGTGGCAACCCTGCATTGTCAGATGATGGTTAGCATTTTTTAGCAATGAAGCATTTTTTTTGAAGCACTTTTTAATTAAGGTATGTGCATTGACTTTTTTTTTTTTTTGGTAGACATAAAGCCATTACTAGGGCTTCCCTGATAGCTCAGTTGATAAAGAATCCGCCTGCAAGACAAGAGACCCTGGTTCGATTCCTGGGTCGGATAGGCTGGAGAAGGGATAGGCTGGAGAAGAGACAGGCTGCCCACTCCAGTATTCTGGGGCTTCCCTTGTGGCTTAGCTGGTAAGGAATCTGCCTGCAATGTGGGAGACCTGGGTTGGATCCCTGGGTTGGGAAGATGCCCTAGAGAAGGGAAAGGCTACCCACTCCAGTATTCTGGCCTGGAGAATTCCATGGAACCACAAAGAGTCGGGCACAACTGAGCAACTTCACTTCAAGATCCCCTGGAGAAGGGAAAGGGTAACCACTCTAGTATTCTGACCTGAGAATTCCATGGAATCGCCAATAGTCGGACACGACTGAGTGACTTTCATGTCACTTCACTTCAATGCCATTACATAGTGTAAACATAACTTTTATATATGCTGGGAAACCAAAGAATTCATATAACTTCACTTTATTGCAATATGCACTTTACTGCCATGGTCTAGAACTGAACCTACAACATCTCCCAGGTGTGTGTGCCTGGACTGTCTTCCCCAACGCAAATCTCAAATCAAGTAATTAATTCTGACATAAACACAGCCTTAGAAATGTTTAATCAGTCCAGGACCAAATTCTGGGAATATGCTAATTTCTGATCTATGAAATTAAAGGCTAGTTTTCTTCACTGTAGATAGCACAGATACCTTTTAAATTTTCATATATAATATGTATTTCCATGTATAAATACACCTATATGCCTATAGAATAACATAAGCATATATATACACATATTACTTATGTTTTTAAATTTTTAGGTAGGTATGTGTGCATGTTTTAATTTATTTTTCATACTCTAGGAGCTAAAAAGCCAGTTAATCTCCTTACAGGGGAGTAGTGGAGCTTTACCCAATAAGCAATAGTTTAGAAGGTATTAGCTGGATTCTTGGCTCTGACACTTGATATATATTGTGTACATGTGGAAAACATTTTATAAACCTTTGCACTATAAAAATTTATATTAGTAAAGACCATAATATTCCAGCACCTATGTTTAACTTTAAATTCACTGCTTATTTTCTAAACATTTTTTTTTTCTTCAATTTGCTTTGGAATTCAATGTTTTTAGACATTTAAAATTCATATAAGTTTTTATGTTTTAGGTTATCTAAATGTTATTATTTTAGTTTCCCCTCTCTATCCTTCCCAGAGACTCCTATGTTTTCAGCCTTAAAAGCAAACAAAGAATTAAGGAAACTGAGGAGGAAAAGAAAAAAAAAGAGGAAAAAGAGAAAACATAACTCTAAAATGACAGCTTTAACTGACTAACATTTTCTATCCCCTTCTACTGCCTTAACACCATTTATATAACTTTTATTCTATCACAAATGGCATCTGAAATCTGACAATCTGGTCTGGTTGGACAGAAAATCTTTTCCTGGGCAAAGACCAAGCTGGTTCATTCTCAGCCTGGGAGACTGATTTGGGGGTAAGTCCTTACCAATTAAGTGTCAGCGTTCCCAAAACCAATTTGAAATAAACATTTTTAACAACCTTTCAAGGCGGCTTATAGTTTTAAGATTTTCTGAAAATACCATGAGTTTAAAATATATGTTTCACAAATATAGAATCGTATGTATTAACTGTAAAAGCAAATAGGCAAGCCTTGTCATTCCAGCAGAAAAAGATGGAAGATAGCTGTGATATAAAGAACATGGGCTTCAAATTTTAAGAAATATTTTTCTTGGTATGTCACTTAACAATGAGCCTCAGTTTCTTCAACTGCAAACATAATAATGACCTCTGTGGTGGTGCTGAAAGGATCAAATAGCAAAAACTATATGTTATAGATAAATATACAAATAAAATTATACAGTCCCCTTATTCCCAAAAGGGACATGTGGGAGAATAGATATGTTCAGGCTTTCCAAGAGGAAAAAATATAACACTAGCTCCCAGGCATAGACGAGGTAATGGTTCCAAAGGAATCTGCTCAGATCCAAGAGTACAGATTTCACAACAAGGACACAACATTAAACTCTGAACCACTTCATAATTCAAATTTTAAAAAAGAATAAAAAATTAAAAACAAAAACACCAAAGTTGTTCAAACATGGAGTCTGAACTATAAGAAGAAGGCTAGTAAAGATTGCATCGTGTTCATCCACACACTACATTATCCCAGGATAAAACAAAATAAAACAAAATGTATTCTACAGTATTATAGTAGATTCCAAATGGAAAATTTCTTTTCTCATCATCACAGACCATGCTCCCACAAGGACACAAAACAATACACATAGAAAGTGAGAAATTTTCCACTGGGAGCAGAGAAAATTCTTAGAGAGAAAAATAATAGGCTGTGGTTAACTTCATAGAGCATCTTAGAGGCATTTCCAAAATAATTAAAGACAAATTTCAGGTTTCTTAGCTACCTCTTTCAGTAAGATATATACACAATTTGGGAAACTGGTATTAACTGATTAATACCAATATTCTTTTGAAAAGCAGGATTTATCCTGGAATAAAAATAGTCTAGTATGGACAATTCACTAAAGTAACTTTTAATCCTCTTCTTAAATTGAAGAATAAGAGATCGCAAAGATCAGTACTATTTAAGAGGACATATACAAACTGCCACTAATTTCACCCAAAGTCACCAGATGTTTGCTGATGACACTGGTAGTTATCACATGGATTAAAATTTTACAGGCTAGGGGTAATATTCATCCATGCCTTTGCTTTTTTTCCTTCCAAAAAAAGATGTCAATATTTTTTTCTTTTAGCCAGTTCAACTTCATTGTTTGCACACTACTGAAACAAGACCTCTTCAATATCCACCGGTTTGCTGAAGATGTTAAAGCGTTTATCTGTCGCCAGCCTCTTGGTTACATCCCTGAGAAACAACCGCAACTCTCTTAAAGTATTTTCCTCTTGGTCCTCCATCCGAATTTTCTCTGATTCTGATAACTGACGAGGTGGAGAAGGTAACGCAAGTGGAAGTACCTCCATTGCACAAAGACCTAAAGAAAGTAGAAGAAAATGTTAAGATTCCAACATGGCAGGTCCATGACCTACCTCAATTATTTCTCTCTCACTCCCTTGAAATGTTCTTTTAAGAAGAGAATTCCAAATATACATGAACCATGCAAGTCCAGCAGGTAAAGATTTAAATGGGAACAAAAGTACATAAGGGGATTACTTATAAAATAACTTACAGCAGGACTTCTTGAAAGGGCACAGGATATAATTTTGAATAATTTGATCTTGAGATATTATTTACATACAACTTTAAGAGAAATATTTCAAATCAACATAAATATCTTCAGGTGAAGTACTTGTATATGGTTTGCTGAAGTCAACTTTAATAAAGATTGTTTCTCAAAACGAGGTTGCTTTATGTAAACAGGCAAGTAATAATCCTTTGATCCCTCCCATTCCCAAACACTTCTGATTTTACACAAGTCTCCTACTCTCATATTCTTAATACAACACAGTCAGGATAGTAAATGGCACCTGCAGGGCATGGGGGGCAAAGCAGTAACTAAAAAAAAAATCCCAAAGACATAGAGAAGATGGAAAACCCAGTCTTAAGTTTTATATATAAAATCTATGGTATTCACTATATACTGTAAAACAAACAAAACATCTTCTTAGAAGGTAAAGTGTTAACTTGCCTAATCATAATGCTCTCTAATTCCTTAAAAGATTTTGCTGGTATCACACTGAAGCTCAGGATTAAAATTCTAAGTATTCTTGCTGATTTCTAAATAGCCCCTAAGATGAAAAATGAAAGTCAACAGGAGGAGCAACTCAAAAAAAAATAATAATAATGTTAATCCTTAACATAGAAAATTCAGATCTACAGGACTTTAATATATCTAGGAACATGCAAGATACTTTATTAAAATGAATCACTTTAATAATAAAATATTTTAAATGCTGTTATTTAGATTAGCAGAAGGCAACAACCAATAAACAGAAGGTATAACTTCCATGTTGAATTTCCCAGGGTTTCTGGGGGGAAAACCCCACAGCTATATTAATTTGATAGATGTCCATCTTATAAACACTGAGAAAAATGTGAAATGGAGCCACTAAAGGGCCATAGATTTATTAAAGTATTGGATAATATAACCACTGAAAAACAAAGAAGTATTTAATAACATAACCAACGAAAAACAAAGAAGTATGAAACAGTAAGGAGTTGGCAGAAATGGGAAATGTATTTAAATATCCCTTAAGAACAGCCACGAGAAACACAAAAAAATAGAACAAAAGATAAGAGGCTTAAATTTTTTCTAATAAACAGTACTACTATTTTTTCAAAGACACTGAAAGACAGATTAATCAAGAGGATCTTATCTTTTACCACCTTTAAGATTAGGAAAAGAAACCACTGAAGAACTTAGAATGCAGCCCTTTCTAAGTCAGAGGACTGAATAATTTTGAGGCCCCTCTTAAGGCCAAGAAAACTCTAATGCTTAAAGAGCCATGATAGACTTCCAAGTGCCTAGCATAATATATTTAACAAAATAGGTGCTCAATAAATATTTTTAAAATCAATTAATAAATAAAATAAACCAGAAAAGGCAGTTGTTCTAATCAGGCCCAACAAAACAACCCTGACCCAGAAAGCAATCAACACAACACCTGTTGTTCACAACCTGCTAGTTCAAGCCCTCAGTACTAAAAATGACTAAAACAGAGCAGAACTAAAGACTTTTTCTATGACTTTTTGAGTCTGATAAATCTACTAGAGCATCTGGATTGAAGTGATAAGGAGACTACTTCATTAACAGTCATCCATTAGAAAAGCTTTAAGGATGAGGCTGTACTTCTCAATCTCAAGTCAGTTAAACACAATGGCCACTTCCATGTGTCCATCTAAAGTTAAACAAAACCTAAACAAATGTCTTCCACAAAGAACTGTTTTGTTTTAATGACTCCAAGAAAGGATATTTCTTAACTCCAACTCCCCCGCAACCCCGCATTTTCCTAAAGGCTTTAGGAACTTTACCAGTGTGTTTCCTTCGTGGTGGAGCCATTGAGGCCTGATTGAGAATCAGTTCTTGGAAAAATTTTCTTCTGTCCTCTTCAATAGGCCTTTGAATATACAAGACCTCTTCGTACTGTATTCTAAAGATACATTTAACCTACACACATACACACACACACACAAAGACATTAAATATTAAGAGAATTAAAAGCTTATATATTATACCAAATTATAATTTCTTCAACTTCGGTACCATTTTCAATGTTCACTGAATATTCATGCAGGATTAAAGCAGTCTCAGGCTATGCTGTTGAGAGGTTCAACCTCATGGAATAAACAAGAATGAAATAATGATCCAGTTCAATTCATTAATAAATTATGATATAAAAAAGGATAGCTGATTACAATAGTCAGATGGGGACAATCTCGAAAAGCTGTTACATGAGCTGAAAAGTAATTATCTACAATCTGTCAACACAATAGAGAGCAAAGAGGATACTAACAGCATGGCCTTCTCTTAAGATGTTTTTGTGTGCTTCCTATCCACTGACTTCCTCTCCTGAGTCTATCCCACTGGATCCTCTGGAATCCTGGTTTCAGAGCAGATAAACTATACCTTCAATCTCATCAAAGGATGCTCCACAGTGACATCACCTTCCATGCAAAACTCCCAAGCAAAATTAAGCCTGCCATACTCATATCCCAATTCCTTCCAGTTAGTGACTGTCATCTCTCCTTTGTTCACCTACTCTATAAAGACTTTGACCCCAGATGTCCCCCTTCTAAAATATGCTGCTTAAATCCTCTTTACATCATTCACATTTGTCTATACATTTTATTTGATTTTTTTAAGGTCTATTTTCTACTTCTAGACACCAAACTTCCTAAGAACAGAATTCATCTATTTTCCTATATCTACCACTATACCTGGTACCTAGCAATGCTTAATAAGCATGAACTGAACGAGTAAAGCTTGTGCTTTTGTTTCCCAGCCAGCATCAAATTGGAAACTGCAAATAAAACAAGGAAAAAGGTCACTAATACAGAAAGAAGTCCCAACCATGACAGTATGGAAATACTGGATTAAAATTTAAGACATCAGATTCTAGCCCAAATTCAGGCATATATTTCTTATAAACTTTGGATAGCCCATTCAGTTTGTCACTATGAATTGTAGAAATTCTTAAAAATTATTTTAACCTATCTTTGTAACAAGGAGGTACATGGAAGTCCCTCATTTTACAGATGAAAAAACTTAGGCTTGGAAAGGTTTATGTGACTGGCCTGAGGTCATAAAATGAATAAATAGAGAAGACCAGATTATATAAGCTGTAAAGGCCATTTTTAACTCTAAAATTCTAAGAGAAGAGATAATTAATGAAAAAGAGCCATCAGAATTCAGCATTTGGATGGGAAATTACCTCAACTCAAAGCCAAATCCTTTAAGAGTTAATATAAAATTTCACCTTATGCCCATCCAATATTTTCTTTGAAGACTACCTTCATGTAAAAATCCTTTAAACCCTTCAATCTATGCTATGCAAGACTTTTCTTAAAAGTTCTGGCAAACACATCCATTATGTGCCAAATATCATGCCAGACACTGTAGTTATAAACCTGAAGAAAAGAGGCTTACTTCTTACTGTCAAGTCTCAAGTCTCACAAGAAAGTACTATGATGCCATGCCAGAAGTGTTATAACAGAGCTAGTGAAACAGAGGAGACCCTACAAGGGGCAAAGGTGAAGATATAGCAAATATACAGAGAAGACACAGCAGAAAATGCTAACGTTAACTGGTTCTTTAAAAATAAACAGAACTCAATACCCTGGAAGTAACAAGATTTTGTTCAAGTGTTTTGTTCAAAGCAAAACATTTAATTTCAGTTTTAAATATTCTTCCTTCTGATCATTTTTCAACATTGTGTTGAACTTTGTGAATATAAAAGCAAACCAAAAGCAAGTCTACAATAATCCCCCTGATTTGCCTGTCTGACTACTATCAACAGCCTGTTTTTCTTTAAATTCACTCCTAACTCAGACTCAGATGAGAACTCAGATCAGAACTCAGATGTTCCCAGACTCAAACTTCATGCTTCAACAAGATGAAACTCATATTAACTTCCTGAACGAATCATGTTCTCTTTCACAATGGTTCACAATGGTTTTTATATATGCTATTTACTCTTTCCTTTTAACTCTCCACTCAAGCCAATGATTTTTGGGTGAAGCTTTCTCTGACTTTCCCAGATAAACTTAGACATACCTTCTACTTTCCCTCTGAAACTTTTAAGTTCCATAATTAATGGAAATTAATTCAGCTGTGCAACCATCCCAAGTCAGTTTTACTAAAAAAATATTTCTATTACCTCTAAAAAGTTCCCCTGTGCCCATCTAAAGTCTATCCACACTTCACTCCAAGCTGACAACCACTGGTTTGGTTTCTGCATCTAGAGATTTCATTTATTCTGGAAATCGCATATCATAGAACTGGTAGTCTTCTGTCCCTAGCTTCTCTCACTTTTAGAATAATGTATTGAGGTTCACTCATGCTGGACAATGTATCAGCAGTTTATTCCACTTACTGCTGAATAATATTTCACTCTGTATATATGACATTTTGCTTCACTAGTCACCAATTAGTAAATACTTGGGTTATTTCCACTATGAAGAATAATTCTAGTAGGAACACTGGTGTACAAGTCTCTGGGTGAATGTATGTTTATATTTCTCTGGAGTAGTTACCTAGGAGTGAAAATGCTGAGTCATATCACAACATTTTAAGAACTGCCAACTACTTCTATCTGCTTCCTTGTTTAAAAATCTCTTTTCTTTTCTTTGTTCAACCTTGGACTCTTTTTTCCTAATTCTCCTAAATAGAAATAATTTGTAATTCTCATATATCCCAACTGAAATTCTCCAGCTGTTCTCAGAAAAAATCTTCAAGGTCCACAGAAGTATATTACTTACACTAGAATTTTGCAAAAAAAGAAAAAAAAAAGGATTGAGGTTAGGCAGGACTTATGTAAAGCCTTTGTGGTAATTCAGTGGTCAATTTCTTTTTCCATGTGACAAACATTTACTAAGCAATTCCAGTGTATCAGGAAGTGAAGGACTGTAAGACAGTCCCCTCCTCCCAAAGAGCTTGTGGTAGCGGTTAGAGACTCAAATGTTTTGGTCTCCACACTTCATTAAACTCTTAAAAATTACTCCAGAACCCAAAAGAGCTTTTGTTTACCTGGGTTATATTAGCCAATATCTATGTACTAAAAATTAAAACTAAGAACCTTCCAAATAATGTATTCACTTAAAACCTATTACATGTCAACACTAAAATATATTCTTCTGATGAACTTATTTATGAAACAGAAACAGAATCCCAGACCTAGAGAACAGACTTGTGGTTGCCAAGGGGGAGGGTTATATTGGGAGTTTAGGATTAACAGATACAAACTATTACATATAAAATGAATAATAGAAGAGAATATGAATGTATGTAAAACTGAATCACTTTGCTACACAGTAGAAATTAACACTGTAAATCAATGATACTTCAATAAGATAAATTTAAAAACACATATTCTGTTGAATACCATTATTGACTCAATGGACATGAACTTTAGCAAACTCCAGGATATAGTGGAGGACAGGGAAGCCTGATGTGCTGTGGTCCATAGGTTTGCAAAGTCGGACATGATTTAGTGACTGAACAACAAAACACTCTTTTGAAAGACATATTTTTTCAAAATATAAAATATTATATATGTAAAATAAAATGAAGTGAGAAAAGTGACACTATTTTACATTTCTTCAAATCTCTTTAATGTGTGGCTTAATGAAAGACAACTGGATTCTCATTTTCTGCTTCTGCATTCAATCTGCTACAATAATGACCCATATTCAAGAGGACACTGGGCTTCCCAGGTGGCTCAGTCATAGAGAATCCGCCTGCCAATTCAGGAGACATGGGTTCCACCCCTGGTTTGGGAAGATCTCACATGATGCAAAGCAACTAAGCCCACACACCATAACCACTGCGACTGTGCCTCGGAGCCCAGGAACCACAACCACTGACACATGTGCCACAGCGACCGAAGTCCATCGTGCTGAGAGCCCATGCTTCCCATCAAGAGTACCCTCACTCCCTGCAACTAGGAAAAACCCAGCGCAGCAACAAAGGCTCAGCACAGCCAAAATAAACAAAATAAGATAAGATACACAGCTTGGGGAAAAAAAGAGGAATGTGACAAATCTCTGAAAGTCCTATGGGGCCCACAGGGGTCCATGGATCACAATTTGATAACAGTCCATCTAGAACAATGATTTCCAATTTTGGAGGGTAATGAAATGCCTCATCAGTAAAAAAAACTTTGAAAATATTCCCTCCGGTACATGCATATTTACTTAAACATATTATTCTACTAATATTACTATTTCTACTATGAAACACATTCACATATAATATTTAAGATAGAACGAAAAATAAAGTCCGTCTAGTCAAGGCTATGGTTTTTTCAGTAGTCATGTATGGATGTGAGAGTTGGACTGCAAAGGAAGTTGAGCACAGAAGAATTGATCCTTTTGAACTGTGGTGTTGGAGAAGACCCTTCAGAGTCCCTTGGACTGCAAGGAGATCCAACCAGTCCACCCTAAAGGAGATCAGTCCTGGGTGTTTATTGGAAGGACTGATGTTGAAGCTAAAACTACATACTTTGGCCACCTGATGCGAAGAGTTGATTCATTTGAAAAGACCCTGATGCTGGGAAAGATTGAGGGCAGGAGGAGAAGGGCACGACAGAGGATGAGATGGTTGGATGGCATCACCGACTCAATGGACATGAGTCTGGGTAAACTCAGGGAGTTGGTGATGGACAAGGAGGCCTGGCGTGCCGCGGTTCATGGGGTCACAAAGAGTCAGACACGACTGAGCGACTGAACTGAACTCTGGACTTAGAAAAGAGGGAAAGATACAAAGACACATTTACAAGAGAATTTTAAAAGGGCTCTAAAGGATGAAATTGTCACTTTGTCCCACAGAAAGAAAACATTTTTGTATCCCTATTAGTCCCATGATGACTTTGTTTTTAAAAATTGAGTAGAGAACCTTTTCATCTCTGAATGAGTTTATTTCCTGATGAGAACAGTAAGTAGCATTTATTACAGAAGATTTAGAAAACAGATAACAAAAACAACTAAAATCTTAAGATACAGTGATAATTACTATTATTAATAGTTACATATAGTTTTATTTATATATATGACTATATAATACATAATTATTTCTTTATAAACCCAGATAATGCCATACATACTGATACAATGCCTATCATTTTTAGCAATATAGTCAAGCATCTTTCCATGACATTAAATGTTTTCTACATCAATATTTTTAATGGTCTCACTGTATTTCATGGAAGGAATCTACTATGACCTAACCAATCCCCTACTATAGAATATTTAGTTTCCAATCTATGAAGAAAAGCTATGATAAATACTCTTGTATCTTTTGTGTTGTCTGTGCTGTATCTTTGTGTTTGTTCCTAAAACCTCTGTCCATGAAGAAAGGTTATGATACTTTTTGTGCTGTTTGTATTCTATCTTTTTTGTTTATCTATGAAAAACTACTTATCTATAAATGGCACTGCTGAACTTAAATGAATGTTTTTTATTTAAATCTATTACTATGAACTGTCCTAAAGAGAGTTTATGAAACCCTTCTTTTTTAATCTGTATCTTACTGTTATTTTAATTTACCACTAAATTTTCTTAAATACACTATAGTAACTGGCCATTTCTTTCTTTTAGAATCACTTAGTTTTTTGCTACCCACTGTGTAATTCAATTCTTCTTCCATCAATCTGGCACCTTGCTAATAACCTAGTCACTCAGTTGGCAACTCTCTATGCTTTTTATTTATTAACCAAATATTTATCAATACAAATTATTATTCACTACTATCTTTGTCTGTGACCGAAACAGAACAATATACTAATGCAAAGCTGAAATTAAAATGAAAGGCTTGGGACAGAGGAGGCTTTTCTAATATAAATTAATATAAAATATATATTGTAACCAGTAATCTAACAAAATCTCCATAATCTTCACCCCACTAATAAGTGTGTCACTTTGTCCCACAGTGACTATCCTTGATACCTTTAGTAACTATTTGGTATAATAAGGGTGAAGAATACAGAAGATGGGAGGGTGGGTGCTGAAATTTTAGGATTCAATGCTAGTAAACTTCTAGTATTTTAGCTATTAATCAAGGATATTGGAATTCACAAAAAAAGTATAACAATATAGCAACAATGAAAATGTATATAATGCAATGTTAGCTTTTATAAAACTAACAATAAAATCACATGCAAATAAACAAGAATATGCAAAATTAAAACTGCTGTATCACAAAGACAGGTTTAGTAATACTTTTATTTACAAATTTTTTAACAATATAGGGTCACTTCAGGCAAGTATATATTTCTGCCTAGAATGCTTAATTATTCTAATTTTCTTTAATTTTTATAAAATTATAATAAAACTAGTTGAGAGGATCAAATTTTAAGATGCAGCTCCTACGTTCAGTTATGTCCAGGTTCAGTCCATTCTCCTACATCATTTCAAAAGCATTCCTACTTCATAATACTAATATAATACCAAACATTTTGGAGCTCTGTAGTTTCCAAAATAAATTCACATATATTATGTCACACCAACAAGTGTATTTTTCTGATTATTACTGCACACATCTTTCCACTAAACTTTACCACTCCTTGTGATTAAAGAAAAAAAAATTCTGATTAATGGTCTCAATAATATCAGACTCTGAATAAAAAAAAGAGAAATATTCTACATTTAATATACTTTTCTTACAAGACCAGTAAGTTGTACAAATTCACTTTAGCAAGATATATAAAAAGAGCTGAAACAGAACAAAAGAACTTGGTAAAAAAATCTGAATCATAAAATTCTATATAATCAAGATTTAGACTATAAAATTTGAAACATATAAAGCTTTTATAAGAACTGTGTTGCTTGGGCAAAATATTTCTAAGCACTTCTAAAAGAGATTATCTCAAAACCTGGTATGCTCAGAATGTTAAAATAACTTCTTAAAAAGCAATTTCATTCACAAGTTGATCTCATTTTTTCCTGAAACAACTGTGATTTTTACCTTATTCTTTACTATTGAGTTGGATTTGAATTCAAATGCAAAATATCAGGTTTTAAAAATATGCACAACAGGATGCTACCAATGAAAGAGAGGAAAGGTCAAATCCCACCAAATAATCTAACAGACGGTAAGAAGGAGAAGGATCATTATAATGGCACTGAAGACGATAAGCTAAGGTGTTCTTAGTGGTTACTATATACATCATAGTCCAGTCTAAGCATGAATTATCTCATAATTCATAACAACACTGCAGAATATATCAAAATATATATCAAAAAATAACAAACCGAAACTTAAAAAGTTAATTAACAAGTCACATAAAAAAAAAAAAAGTCACATGGCTAATATTTGGTACAACCAAGGCATGAACCTTGACAGTATTGATTTTATGGTAACTAAAATATGTCAAATTACAAGGAAAACTATTTTAAAACCATAAGAAAACATAAATATTTAGTCAGTTCTTACCTCTTCAGGCAGTTCACTGTACATGGTTTCAGAGGTAGACAACAGAAATATGGGTGAAAATGACGGTATATCTTGTAGCAGAGTCAGAAAAGTTGCTCTCACAGTTTCACTGACAGCTTCCCACCAATCACCAATGTGAGGCATGTAAACAATACTAGGTACTGTTCTTCGAGCTTCACGAAAAATCTAATTAAGGAAAGAACTGGCATTAAAAATTCAAGTAGAAATTATTCTAAAGTCTACACAGTAACTTCCCAATACATTAAATGTGTCAGGCCTGTTACTATCACTGTCAGCCTAAATATTTAAGTTGTTCAAAACATAATGCACAAACCATACATTTAACTTGTATCTACCCTTATCCCACCTAAGAAAAGGAGAATTTTTTGTTACTCTTCCTACTCAGTATGTATTAAGAGTGTAAAGGTATCATACTGCTCCATCTCTCTATCACATAAAGTAAAACACCACTATAATGCTGCAAATAAAGAGATAAGCATGCAACCTATATGTCACCTACGTAAGAGTGATTATCAGGAAGCACAAAGAAGAAAAAGAAGACATAGTTTACATGTTTGTGCACACTGCCTAAAATCACTCAACATATGGATTAAATATTTTACCAAGATATGCCACCCTAAAGCTTAAAATTAATGAACTATTCGGCTGAACCACTTGTTTACCTCCCATTACCTTAATTCAATCTTCTATAAAATAGTCACAAAACACCTTTAATCTCTAAAAAGCAATAAATAAATTAGCAAAAAACTATGAGACACTCCCACTTCAGAAAGTAGAAAATAAAGTTTCCCCAGGTGTTAAAAAGAGTCTTAACCATAGCTTCAGTCACAGTCTGCCAACACATGCAAATAAAGACCAGGCTGGCAATTAATAAGTTGCCAGACAGAACTACTGCCGTTTTCCATAAAAGTCAACAACAACTCAATAGTCCATCAATAAATTCTTACAGGTTAATATGACATCTCTTCAGTACCTTTAAGTTAAAAATCTGACTATGAGGGACTTCCCTGGCTGTCCAGTGGTTAAGATTTCATGCTTCAAATTCAGGGCACAGGTTTGATCCCTGGTTGGGGTCTAAGATCCACATGCCATGCGGTGCAGCCAGAAAAAAATAAACCTGTCTCTCTCCCTTCAATATAAGAATTCTACTTCTAAAATTCTCTATCTTCTCTTAAACACATTTCAATCAGCCTATGTAATGTGCAAGATACAGAAATGAGAACCAAATAGTTTAAATGATTATCAAAACATTTCTAAGATTCAAAAGGACTATTTTTCTTTAATGAGTAAGCCTACCACTTGCATGAATTTTTCAAATATTATATTTTATATAGTTTTAAATCTCCTGTGTAAAATAAAATGTGCTGCCAATTTAATAATAAGCCAGATGAAAGACGCTAAAATAAAAATTTCCCCCTAATTGGAAATGTAGATGTTATGATCATTCACATCAAAAGTAATACTTGTTCCTTCCCTTCTTTTAACATTTGCATATCCACCAATCCAGAACAGTTGTACAGTACAACTCCTTCAGGACCTTCAAATTTTGATCTTTTCTGCAAACACACACCCTCTTATCCTGGAACTTGAAATCCAAGGATTATTATTTACCAAAGTTCATGTAGAAGATTCACAAGAGAAAAACAAGCATAAATGTTGGCAAAAGGAAGGAACCACACAGGAGCACAAAGGCAAGAGAGGTATTTGATTCCAAAAAAATGTTTTTAATTTTACCACATGCCACGCAAATCAGGCATGGTATGTAGAAGACAGTGACCAATGGCTATTGCTGATAAAACAAGGGAAAGCCAGCAGGAAGAAAAAGGTGATTATATGAAAAAGACTAACAAACTCTACAGCTTACTAAGAAACCTCACAAAACTACCTACATAATTCAGCCGTGCAGGTTACCACATGCCCAGGGAAAGATGAGAAAACATGCCTTTTTTTAAAATATTAAATTTGCCTTGCTAATTCTAGTATTTGTAGGTTAGATTTTCTACTAATATATGGACTGAGAACATCTACCTGCTAGCAAAGACCTGAGAGTACGGGCAAAGCAACAGTTTAAATGATAATAAACAATTTTCCAGAACCATAAGTTAAACAGTGCAGTAATGTAGGAGTTTCAAACATATCTGCAAGGTTGACCTACATATATAAAATAAGTATCACCAACTGTAAAAGAGTTGAGGGATATTTCTATTTCTTTCCTTTTCTCATTCAAACCTCTCAAAATTAGAACACTGAATAAGATAATGATACTTCATTACCCTATTTATTTCCAAAGACTTTAGGAAAGCATCTTTATTAGAACTTTTTGAAATTATATTTGAAAACCTAGAGGGGAAAAAATAATCAGGAAAAAAAGTCTAAGATAAATATAAAAAAATAAAAAGGCTCAGACTTTCTTGTCCATGAATATATAATTACATGAATCAAGAATTAATCTAATTACATGCAATATCACTAATCAGGGAATAGTTTTCTCTGAAACTTTTAAAGGAAAAACATCCTTAATTTCCAGAAAAATTTTAAAATGCTACTAAAACAAATTTCCTTCTTAACTCCTTATTCCATTTTAACTCTGAATGTTAAAATAAACTTTTGTATTTTCTTTAAATAGTCAACCTATCCTAATTCTCCTGTTTTTGAAATGAAATTTCAAAAAGAATAGACTCTGAGGACAGTATTTAAAAACTGATTAAAAAGTTTAATCATATTGTGTGTGTGTGTGTTTTTAAATGTAAAGTCAGCTCTTCAGCAGTTTGCAGGTAATTTTAGAAGTTGTAGAATAAGATAGTTGTGGTGGTTGTTTAGTCACTAAGCCATGTCTGACTCTTTTGTGACCCCATGGACTGAAGCCCTCCAGGCTCCTTTGTCCATGGGATTTCCCAGGCAACAATACTGGTGTAGGTTGCCAATTCCTTCTCCAGGGGATCTTCCCGACCCAGGGATCAAAACCAGGTGTCCTGCATTGGCAGGCGGATTCTTCACCACTGAGTCACAAGGGAAGTCCCGTGGAATAAGATACACTCTGTGAAATCAATTAATTAAATATTTCATAGGAGAAAAATAAAGCCTAGTTTTAGTGAAGCGGCAACTGTCTTGGGAACAAGTGATGCCATTTGATAACTAGAAAAATACTCACCTACAGGGTGTCTTGGATTGGTGGATGTGCAAGGTGTAGTAGAAAACAGAAAAACTGTTATAGAGAAAAAAAGACAGTAGGCCAAATTACTGAACCAACCGTTTCAAAATACCTCTGACATGACCAGCACTCTTGCACAAATAAATGAATGAACACCAGTGTATGTGAATGTTCATTTTGATTCTTTAAACAATAAACTTCTGGCCTCTTCCTCTCCCAGACATCATAGTCCTGTATATAACTTTTTTTTTTAAATTTCTTTATTTGAAAAAAAAACACAAACTCTTTTCTCCGAGTATTGATGATATGAAAGGCAAAAATTGGGCTATTGAGATTAGAAGTATCCATGAAGGAAGCACTAACAATATAAACTGCACTTGTATTTATGAGTCCTTAGTTCAAAAACTAAATTTCAAATCAGTACACCAGATACCAAATTAAAATGTTCAGAGCATGAAAATTAGCTGTATCTTTAAAAAATTAAGAATATACAGTCTATAACAAGCCACTTTAAAACCTGAAAACTAGACTAATTATAAATGCAAAGGTGCATGAAGCAGAAAGCTCCAAGCCAGTACAGTTTTCACTTTCCTAAAAGGGGCTACATGAGAAAAACAACTTTGTGTCATCGATAAATTTCCAGAATTTGTCTTGGTCACTTTACAATATTATGAATGTACTAAAATTATAAGACATAAGTAAAAGAAAAATCTTGGGGGCTAATTTATTCTCAATTTTTATAAAAATTAAAAAGTACTATTTAAGTTTAATTCCTTAAACCATGATATCAAAAAAAAAGTTCAAATAATACTATGTCTCCATTATCGATAACTTTATTCCATATGTGTCACTTATTACATTTTGAGCATCTCTGTGAAAATAAGGCACTGCCTGAGGTTTGAAGATTTAGGATTCAAGAAATAAAAAGCCCAATTTCTTTACAAGCATATAAAATCAGCCTGTTAAGAAACACAGCTATACTAGAGTTTCTGAACTCAACATTTCTTGAAAATTAAAACACCCAAGTTCCTTTTCTGATATTTCATTGCTAAAAACTTCAATAATTTCAGTAAATGTGACACAGTTTGGGCCAGGATAATTTAATTTGTTTACAACTCCAAGAAAAAAAGAAAGTGCTATAGCAAAACACAGATGTGTAGCCATGTACACAAACACAAGAGTATCCCCAGTATACACAGAGTGTTATGGAGAAACCCAGAAATCCTCTTTCACAAACACAACATCCAAAGTATACACATAGGTAAGTATATTAATTCCTTAATGCCACGTAATCAAAATGGATTTTCCCTGAGAATTTCCAGATACAATTTCTTTCTGGGGAAAAATAAATACTAAAATTTTTACCCTCCAAAAAACCTTACTGACCATGTGAAATTACTCATAACAACATACCCAAACTCCAAAGCTTTTGACAGGTCATATGTAAATTTATTGATTCAATTATACCTCGATAGTAATGAAAACATTAAGTAACACATTCATCGATCACTTTTTTCCTAAATCAGCAATGGAAATAATAAGAGAGGAAAAACAAAACATCTGAAAATGTCAGTAAAAGGGACTCATAGTTGTTGCTATTTTTAAAACATTTTATTTTCAATTGGAGGATAATTACTTTACTATACTGTGATGGTTTCTGCCATACATCAACAATATGAATCAGCCATAGGTACATATATGTTTCCTCCCTCTTAAACCTCCCTCCCACCTCCCTCCCCATTCCACCACCTAGGCTGTCATAGAGCACCAGCTTTAAGTTCCCTGTGTCATATACAAATTCCCACTGGCTATCTATTTTACATATGGTAATCTCTATGTTTCAGTGCTACTCTCTCAAATCATCCCACCTTCTCCCCCAGCTTCAAAAGTCTGTTGTCTTATGTCTATATCTCCACTGCTTCCCTGTAGATAGATTCATCAGTACCATTCTATATTTCATATGTATGCATTAATATACAATATTTGTCTCTTTCTGATTTACTTCACTCTGTAG